CGGAGCCGTTGGGACAGGCTTCGGCAGGATCCCCCACGGAAGAGAACCAGGAGTAGGCAGGACCCCCAGCGAGACATGTGATGTCGAGGCCTCCAACGAAACAGGACATGGGGTTGGCAGGACCCCCGATAGAAGAGTAGTCGGCCGGGCCTCCAACGGCACAGGACACAGGGTTGGCAGGACCCCCGGCAGGAGAGTAGTCGGCGGGGCCTCCAACGGCACAGGACATAGGATTGGCAGGACCCCCGGCAGGAGAGTAGACGGCGGGACCTCCAACGAGACAGGACAAAGGGTTGGCAGGACCCCCGGCAGGAGAGTAGTCGGCGGGGCCTCCAACGGGACAGGACACAGGGTTGGCAGGACCCCCGGCAGGAGAGTAGTCGGCGGGGCCTCCAACGGCACAGGACACAGGGTTGGCAGGACCCCCGGCAGGAGAGTAGTTGGCGGGGCCTCCGACGGCACAGGACATAGGATTGGCAGGACCCCCGGCAGGAGAGTAGACTGCGGGACCTCCAACGAGACAGGACAAAGGGTTGGCAGGACCCCCGGCAGGAGAGTAGACGGCGGGACCTCCAACGGGACAGGACATAGGGTTGGCAGGACCCCCGGCAGGAGAGTAGTCGGCGGGGCCTCCAACGAGACAGGACAAAGGGTTGGCAGGACCCCCAGCGGAACCTCCAACGGTACTTGAGTAGGGACTTGAGTGGGAATTCGAGAGAGGGCTTGAGAGGGATCTTGAGAGGGAACTTGAATGGAGACTTGAGAGGGGACTTGAGAAGGGACTCGAGAGGAGACTTGAGAGAGAGGGCTTGAGAGGGACCTCGAGAGGTGACTTGAGAGGTGACTTGAGAGGGATCTCGAAAGGGGACTCGAGATGGGACTCGAGAGGGAACTTGAGAAGGGACTAGAGAAATGACTCGAGGTGGGACTAGAGGAGGGACCAGAGAAGGGACTATGGCAGCTGGGGCCAGAGCTGAGTCTGGAACCATGGCTGCTGGGGCCAGAACTGAGTCTGGGACCATGGCTGATGGGGCCAGAACTAGGTCTGGAACCATGGCTGCAGGGGCCGGGACTGGGTCTGGAACCATGGCTGCTGGGGCCAGAACTGGGACGGGACCATGGCTACTGGGGCTGAAACCATGGCTGCTGGGGCCTGTACTGGGGCTGTAACCATGGCTGCTGGGGGCTGAACTGGTTCTGGAACCATGGCCTTTTGGGCTCGTGCTGCTAACCTGGCCTTGCGACTCCTCTTAGGAGCCGTTTGGAGGCTCCGTGGACCTCCAAAAGCCAGACGAGTATCAGCGAATGGCTCCTGGACTGTAGCAAACACTGGGTGAGAAGCAGGGGCTGACGCCAGACAGACCACACCGATGCGTTTGGTATCAAAAAGGGAATCTGGAGACCTGGGTCTATCAGGATCGGGAAAACAAACCGTGAGGTAATCCAAAAGCCAGGCAGGTAAGAATTTAACCAAATCTTGATTCCTCAGCGTAAGGTGGACTGCATCTGCCAGAGCAGCATCTCGCTGCTGAACCCTGACCGCTCCTATCCATCGATGAGCACAGTCAGACAAAGAAAAGGTATAATCCACTAGTTCCTGCTCAAACGGATCTGCTGGGCCCATATCGTTGGTCGGTTCGTAATGTTACGGTGTGTGAAGCAGGCAGGACCCAAATGCAGATATAAACTGAAAAACTCCTTTATGTCAAGGCTAGGCGCAGATAAACAAAGACAAAACAGAACACTCACCGAAGAACTAGTCATGACACAAGACAAACCGACAAAGACAGACAGAAAAACCCAGAACTTAAATACACACAAGACTAATCACACAAACTAGACACAGGTGAGGAGGGAGGAGAAAGCACAGGGTGAACACAATCGGGTAAATTAAACACACCAGGGAAACTAACGACAGGGAACCACAGACAGATTTAAACAAGACACAACGCAGACAGAAACAGGCAAGACAGGAGGTGAAGACCTTTCAAAATAAAACATGAAACGAAAGACAGAAAAAGACAAGACAAATACAATACAGACAGATCGTGACACTATCTATCTATCATAACTTATTTGAAGCTAAACCATGAGGTTTTGCTAAACATAACCAAGTAGTTTTGTCCTGTTTTTGTTTCGTTACAATTTACAATGTGTTTAATACTCCTGTAATCTATGAGAAAAAAGTTTCACTTGAAACTTAATTGAGAATGCAGTCCAGTTTTATGATAACAAAATGTGGTCGTACACAGGGTCACTATAGAGTTGTGCAGTGGGAAAACCTCCAGCTTGACTTGAGACCTCCCCCGTGATAAATAAATGTAATTATTATGAAGCCAGCTGCAATGGATCATTGATCCACCAGGGGGGGCAGTGGGGTTCCACACTGGAGCTCATGTGAAATAAAGTCAGATACAGTATGCTGGATGTACGGCGGAACTTTGTTAAGATCCATATGTCACGGATATCATACTCTGTGCTAAATAAGAGACATGTAATCATTTACAAAACATCACCATGTTGGTATTTAACAAAATAGTTTAGTTTAGTCGAAAAAAACGAACGGGAGGAAATGCAGCCCGGCTCTCTATTTTTAATCCTAATTTAATCATCATCTTCACCACGATCATTTATGTTTATGTTCGCCGAATTTACATGAAATCACTGACACATATGAATATACTGTATTCAACTTCATTAAAACGTTATTAACGTGCCTAAACTCAGTAATTCACTAAAAATATTTATATTTTAATGGAGCCTCGTCGGCAGATCAGGATCCCGACGCGTAGCGGAGGGATCTTGATCAGCATGAAGGGTGTTATTTTCCCCATAACAAGTCGCTGCAAATTATCCCGCTTATTACATGGTATTACGTTACCATTGACTGTTAGCAGGCTCAATGTCGAGTCAAGGCAACATAATAAAGGAGACGGTAGCCGAAGTAATCAAAAAAGAATTTAATTAATAATTACCACCATGGTTGAACAAAGGAAATATAAAGTAATGACAGACAAGAACACATACTGCACAGACAGGATCAGCACCAGACAAAGGGGAAGGCAGAATACTTATACATGAGGTAATGACGAGACAAGACACACCTGGGTTAATTACAAATGGGTACACCTGGAGGGGAAACGATAAGGACTACAAAACCATAACAGGAAACTACAGCTAGACATGACACATCACACTAGGAGTGCCTGATCAGGACACAAACACATAACACCCCCACACCCAACTTTATGTCCATAACCCCAAGGCGAAATGGGGGAATGAACATAAACAGAAGAAGGAAACAAGAAACAATAATACTGTCAGCACAATAACAAATAGTACTAACAGCACCGGTATGGACGGTCATAACCCCCACACCACCCCATGGATAAATAGCACCCCGTCCCCTGACTACAGCCGTGATAGCGCGTCAGCCAACACATTGTCCTTGCCCTTGACGTGAACCACGTCAACATCAAAGGCCTGCAGGAAAAGGCTCCAGCGCATTAGCCGCTGGTTCGAATTCCGCATCCTGCCTATAAAGACCAACGGGTTGTGGTCGGTGTATATTTTAATCGGTACCTGGGATGAACCGACATACACCTCGAAATGGGAGAGAGCCAAAATCAAGGCCAATGCCTCCTTTTCAATTGTCGAGTAGCGCCGCTGGTGTATATTAAACTTTTTAGAAAAATACGACACCGGATGTTCTATACCCCTGTCATCGTCCTGCAGAAGCACCGCGCCTGCGCCCAGCTCACTAGCATCCACAGCCAACTTGAAAGGCTTTGTGAACACAGGCGCTGCGAGGACAGGAGCACTGACCAGGATGGACTTTAATTGCTGAAACGCAAAAGTGCACCTAGGCGTCCACTGAAATGGGATCTTCGGGCTCAAGAGATCCGTGAGGGGAGAAACTACCGCTGAGAAATTCCTGCAAAAACCCCTATAATACCCCGTCATCCCCAGAAAACACCGGAGGTCCCGACATGTAGCAGGCTCTGGAAAGCCAAGTATCGCCTCCACCTTGGAGTGGACAGGGCGGACCTCCCCCCGCCCCACTACCTTGCCAAGATAGGTGATGGTCGCCCTGCCAAACTCGCACTTGGCCAGGTTTAGGGTCAAGTTTGCCTGACGAAGCCGGTCAAAAACTTCCCGCAAACTAACCATGTGCCCCTCCCAATCGTCAGAATAGATGACGAGGTCATCGAGGTAGGCCTCAAAATTAGCTACGCCTGACAGCACACGATTCACCAGCCTCTGGAAAGTCGCAGGCGCGTTGCGCATACCAAACGGCATTACCGTATATTGCAGGAAACTGTCAGGTGTCACGAACGCAGAAATTAGTTTAGCGCGATCCGTAAGTGGCACCTGCCAGTATCCTTTCAGCAAATCCAGCTTGGTTACATAAGACGCACTCCCCACCCTGTCGACACAGTCCTCCATTCTGGGCAATGGAAAACTATCAGGCCTAGTCACGTTATTTACCCGGCGAAAATCCGTACAAAACGCCATCTCCTGGTTAAAACCTGAAATTGAAAATCTGGCAACGCCCTCTTGGAAAATAGTGGGAGGGCTTAACATTCCTCGATACTGGTCTTAGGCAGGTCGTAGGCAGGAAGCTGTAAGCTGGAGTCTGAAATGAGGTGCTACATCTGTATGGATACAGCTCTCAACACTCATATGAAAGGGAGCTGTATACTTTTCAATAATCCAAAAATCTTTAGACTATGATCACAACCAATAACAAATCATTTAAACTGGTTTATTCTTATCTTATGTTACCTATAGTTAGCATTCTTTCTTTTTATTTATGCATATTTTACTAATCACTCCCTTTTAAACTGTTTTTTACTGTCCTATAGTACACATTGGAATGATTTCTTACTTTATCTATATTAAAAAGATTAAGGTGTGCTCTCCCTAGCTCTCTCGCTCTCTCTCTCCCTCCTTCCCTCCCTCCCTAGCTCTCTCGCTCGCTCTCTCTCTCTCTCCCTCTGTCTCGCTTGCTCACAGAGGCTGTGTGCTCCTCCGTGGCGATGACGGCTTGCGTTAAAAAAATAAAAAAACATATTTGTAAAGTGGGGGGACACAAACAGGATTTAGAAAAGAGCGGGGGACATGTCCCCAGTGGAAATTACGCCATGCATGTTTGTGCGTCAAGTGCAATACATATATAAGTTGCAACACACAGAGTAAAACTCTGCGCCTCATGTGCATATAGGCTGGCATGATAGGCTGTTCAATGGAGCTGATGTGTTGTGTAGATTCTGCCAGAAGGAAAATCAGCGGGGAGGTGCCACATTGCTTTTCTTCCCGACTGCAACGCTGGTCCTGCAAATCAAGCAAGAACGTGATCGGTAGATATTCATTGTGGGGTGGGGGGAGGAGGGGTGTTAGATAGATATAGAGTTGTTGTAAGTAGATAGCGTTTGCTATGATTTAGGTTTCGTTTATGCATAGGGTAGATTATTTTAATTACATTTCCTTTTTTGTTTTGTGTATTTTATACATTTTGGATTTGCTTGGCGAGTTATTTTTAGAACATGCCCCGCGGGCGACTCACGTTGCCCCTGCGGGCACCGTGTTGGCTACCCCTGCTTTAGAGAATAGAGATATTCATGTACAAACAGAACAGCAGACACATTTTAACACAAATCAAGCAGAACATTTACCTGGTTCTCTTTAATCAGCTCCGCTACAGACTCTTCCAGAAGCTCCGTCAGGCGGCAGGGCGGCTTCCGTCTAACTTCAACTTAGTGCTGTTGAACAGAGATGTAAATGATTGTAGCGAAGACACATAACTGTAAGTACAGAAAGATATTGGAGACAAAGATTATTCCTTAACTTCAATTGAACGCGCTACAGAAGGAGGCACCAACAGTTAAACTTCTAATAAAGTGACTCTTGTCCCCAGGGCCGCCCCTGGCCAACTTGGAGCCCCAAGCGACATTGTGAGATGAGGCCCCCCCCCAACCGACAGGAGTGAAAACAATTTTTTTTGGAAACAAAGTAGGCTACTTTGCAAATATAATTCCTGTTTATTATTATTATCAACACTTTTTTATGGAGTGAGGTAAATGGTTGTGCATGTATGTCGTTCAGTATGCGTTTACAGGTGAACACGTCTGCATTTCCTGCCAAATACTAGCCTCAAAAAGATTAAAATATAATTAATACAAATAAACAACTTCTACTAATAATAATCATAATCAATTCAATAATATAAATACTATATTATTTTATTATAATATAGTTGTATAGTCAAGACAAAACATGCTTATGACATGCTCAAAAACTCATATTTCTTAAATCTGTATTTAAATGTAGTTCACTCTGTCAGCAATATATCAACAACTACACACATATTTCTATCAGTACAGTATTTGTCTGTGTTGTGGTTGACATGATGATGACTGTTAGGAGTTAAGGGGAGAGGCTGAGCATCACCATGAAATGTGCAAATTGACATACAAATAAATATAAGGGCGAAAAATGCTCCATATTTTTTAGGCTGTAAACTTTAACTGTTATGTAAGCCAACTAGAAAGACAGTGTATCACTCTTCCTCCTGTACATTAGCAGATAAAAGGCATCACATACTTGAATGAATGGTAAATAAAGAATGCTGGAAATAACTGCATCTCCATTAGCCTATATGCTATGCAGAGACTGCCTTCTTCATGTCGTGAATTGCAGCTGATGTTTTAATATGGCAATTGGCAATTTGACTTATACAACATTCACAAGTTGTACATTTGACTCATACAATAACCCACCTTTGAGTGATGCTCTAGTTTCTTCAAGTTTTGTTTTTTTTTCCCTCTAGCTTGCGCCGGACTGAAACTAGGCTTGTTTGAGACAAGCGAGACCTGCGCAGACCTGCGCAGTTGCGATCAACGTCTTGCTAGTGCGTTGCATGATGGTTAGTCATTTTGTCCGACTTGCTCTGGAGGCCCGCCTACATGAGACGTTGAAATCTCGCGGGACAAAGACGCCCGCAGCCTTGAGAGCGAGGCGAGGCGAGGCGGCGCAGTTCCTCTCCACGGGCTGCGGAAGCGAAATGCTTTATGGGAAACGACTCGCTGGTATCTCGAGCTGAGCGCTCATTGGTGGTTTTTACCACGTGCTGCTGCTGAAACTCTCCAATTGGCTCGGCAAAAGTTTGTTGTTGTTTTGTGTCAGTTTTACGTCGCCACATCCATTCCCATTTTTCATCATTGTTCCACAATGTTTATCATCATGACATTAATATCTATATATTTTATACTATACTTGCACTGCTTACCGTTTTCATACTTTATATATCTTAGCATATTCATACACACTGTTCATACTGCTCACAGGCTGATATCTAGTGTATTCACACCCCTCACTGTTTATTCATCATTCAATTCATTCTATATTTTATTCTGTCTATTGTGTACATTACTTTTCACTTTACTGCTTGTTGCACTCCTGGTTAGAAGCTAAACTGCATTTCGTTGTCTCAGTACCTGTAATATGGGCAATAACAATAAAGTTGAATCTAATCTTGAGCAGGAACAAATGTATTTACTTAGTACATATCTGACATTAACGATTAAACACATGTGTGCATTCTTTATAAATGCAAACCGAGTCAAGCCGACTCCGGAGGTGGCGGTATGCACCTTAAAGTTGTTTGCAATCCGCCAAAAAACCGAGAGAAGAAGAAGAAGAAGAAGATGAAGAAGACGAAGCCGACTCCGAGCTATCCGACTTCAGGCGAGCTTTTTGAGACCTCCCCCGGCTGCGATCAGCTACTCTCGTCTACTTTCGAGGCCAGCCGCAACGCGTCTCAAACAAGCCTACTGTCTTTTCACCGACATCTCTTCACCTGCACTAGTGGCCGTATCAAAGCCGTGATTGGTCAGATGTCGATTCATTGCAACGGTGTCGGGTTACAGACGTGCTCCCCTTGTCACCTCTCACTCTCGCGTGTCAGCCGGGGGTGCGCGGAGAACTGAGCGGAGAACTGCGCACAACAGCTGAGGCCCTCTGGGCGGGGCCCCCTGCGCAAGGCGGGGCCCCATGCAGCCTGCGTGATTGGCCTGTAGGAAGGGGCGGCCCTGCTTGTCCCAGTAGTCTTCCTGAATCACCCCTCTCCTTCTTTAGGCTGCAGAGAAACAGGCCGCATCACAGGCAGTTTACACAGAGCAGCGTCCATGGCAGTGAATGTGACATAGGCCTACCCTTTTTTTTAGGAAGCATGGTGCCGCTATCTGTTTCAGTGTACACATGAAAAAAAAGAACAAATGTGCATCACACACAGTCGGATGCATGTGAGTGAATTGACTTCCACAGTAAAGGAAAACTTAGTTTGGCGCCACACTGCTTAACTACCGAGCAGCATTTGAAAATGTACCAGTAAAACTTTTTTTTCTGAACTACTAGTGCCCCACTGCCATATTTTTCTATTCAAAACGGTGAATTTCGCCAGCTGTTGACTAGTTTGAAACAACTACTAAACCACAAAGTATTACATATTGTGTATGCCTCGTCCATGAAAGCAGGCTAAATTAGCTAGCACGCTAAGCTGAAAGACTGACGATAGCTAACGTTCGTTTGATATCCACATTAAGCTGACAAGCTAACAGGGAGGTACAGGGTTAATAATGTACATAAATATACTTATATGATTCAAAATCCACGAGTATTCATTTTAAATGAGGGTCCATGCTCTCTTCTCTTCAACTGTTTTTTTCAAATGTCTGTACTGTGTGCAAACCTGGTGAAAACTCCTCTGAGGTCATCGGGGGCGTCGCCCACCTTTACTCACATTATCCATGTATATTTTACTAGCTATTCACAGGTTGTAAGTCAACACCAGTGGCGAACCGTCAGGGTCTTCAAGGTATTCAGAGAATACCCTGGAACACTCAGATAAAACAAACAAAACATCGATTTAATTATATAAATAAAATGTAATAAAATGTATATAAAATGAATAAATGAGAATCGTATCTGTGTTCTTGATCTGTAATATTACAGTGTTACGTTGATTTGTTTGTCCTTCTCAGACCATGCACTACGCATTTCAGTGGTTTTGTGTTAGAAAAGAAAGAAACCAATCAGATATTGTCCTTCAACCAAGGTATTCTACATCCTTGATCGAATGCCCTGGCCGTTGCACTGAATGAGAGCGTACGTTTGGACTGACAGTTTGATCAACCAATCATATATTGATTTGTAGCCAATGGGCGTATTCTTTCAGAGTTTCCCTCGGTTCCAGGGTACTCTAGAAGGCTCGCTAGTTAACTGGCTCGAGACAGAGGATCTAGATGAATGCGACGAAGCAATTCATGCCGTTTTATTGTTTTTAAAATTTGAAATGACAAGTGCAACAGGTGAAGATGAAGTTGTTGCGGAATTGTTGTGAGTACCCTTTTCAATACGACAATTCAATGAAAAGACGGACATTATAATGCCGGGGAGGGGGCGGCGGCGGGGGATGTGTGTGTCTACAGAAGGTCCAGTTGTGATAGACACGGTTCGCCACTGGTCAACACACTGTAGTTAACATTTACTTTGTGAGTAAAATAAAATTATTATTAATTTCTTGTAGGATTTAAACAAAACAAAAAATCGTTTTTATCAGTGTTGATCACATGCAGGGACTCTTTAACCTAGCTGACCTGCATATTTGTCGGTCATCGAATAATCCAGCTCATTTCACCTCACCTCACTCTTAGTATATTCTCCCCGCATCACAGCTTGTCAGACATAAACAAAGTTTGTGGCATTTAAAAGAGAAACATCATAAATCACCTTGGCTGTGTTTGACATTAATCAGTGAAGCCGTTTAATTACCTTCTTTTTTTTGAAAGCGTACAGACTCAAACACAGTCGCTCCTCATCTAATCATAAAGCTAAAAAACTGCTTCTTTGCTCTCTTGGTTCTGGAAATTCCTTTGAAAATCTTAACTCTGTTTAATCATCAGGCTCAGCCGTTGTTCCACTAATCACTAGCACAGTGTGTTTGACGCGCCGCAACTGGATCGGCAGCAGCTGACTGCACACGGAGCCCCGATGCCAGTGGTACTGACAGTGGGTGTTTTTCAATGTCGAGGAAGAGCCACTATTTCAAGGATGCTACGTCATTGAGTCCCGCCTAAGGACTGTTCCAATGTCCAGGATCCTTGAAATTATATCGAGGCCGGCGTCCTTCGTTGCGGGAAATGTCGAGGCTGCACATTTGTATCCTCCGTGGTCTTAAAATTCCCACAATGCTTTGGGCACGGACCAATTTCCCAAATATTTGGCGGAAATCGCGCTCCATTTAAGGCGGGGCCTCGCATATGACGCACACCTGCACACCTGTTAGCCTGTTCCACCATTCTCCGTTTTCCGAGGCTTGGAAGGATTCTTGCCTCGCTTCTGAAGGACCTGACTCGGAAGACATGTCCTACCAAGGAAGCGTCCTCGACATTGAGAAACACCCAGTGAATTCTAAGTCGGACACCAGGGCTGAAAGAACTGGCTCCTGAAAGCTACTGCAACTTATTTTCTTCTGGTTTAACTTCTTCTGCTAGTTCAAAGTGATGGTGAAGTGAGGGCAAGCAATGAATTACAATCCACAGCTTGTCCTTCACCTAATTTCTCAGCGCCGCCAAGGCTCAGGTGATTTAACCTTTTGCACACACACAGACACACACAGACACAGCCTCCTAAGACAAAGACATGTGTGTTCTACTGGAGGATTCTTGGTAAAGTGCACATTATGGATGACACTTTCTTTTTCAAGACATTAGACATTAAGTGCTGCTGCATCTTTACAGGGTTCCTAAAGCAGATTGCCAATGACCCTACTGCAGTAGATTCTAAAGGGCCAGTGACATACACATCAAAAGAAACAAAAGACAAAATCTCAATCAACTAGAGTGATGTAATGAAAATAAAAATAATTGCTTTGTTTTATAGCAGCTATTGCCTTGACAGACCAAACAAAAGCAAAATAGAAGGCAATGTAACAGAAAGCCAAACAAAAGCAAGACCATACGAAGGTAAAACATGAAGACATGGGTCCCAAAGACATAGTTGACAGAAGACACATGACAATGACAGATGAAACAATGAAAAGGATAATAACAATTAAAATTAAAGCTGCAAGCAGCGTTGAGCGGGTCTTCGACGCTCCGCAGGCTGTTGTCCGCACGTCGACGTCAGGCAGATGTCTCGAGGACTCGGCCGTTGGCAAACGTGGGAAGTTTCAGGCCGATCGGACAATGTATTTAGGAGTTACAGGTTCAGGTTCAGGTTATTTATTTGTACCCGTAGGTAGATTCTGTTTGCAGAGAAAAAGACAAGGGTTCCATCCTGACACTAAAAATAAACACAAACAACAGACACATCTCTAATAAAGGGCTAGTAAAAGTACAGGTACAAGTATACCCTGCTTAACCAAATCTCAAAATATTTTACAGCAGTATCATAAACATTGTGTTTGATGGCGAGTGATCTGTCGCCATGGCAACGGCATTTGATGACACCCCATAATATGCTTAGTTGTGTTGAGGGCTGCATCGTTATCAAACCTGTGAAGTTTTGTGCCGTTTGGAGCATGTCAACTGGAATGATGAGAAAACCATGTTTCACGGCGACCATTTTGTTACCATAGCAACGACATTTGAAGAAATCTCAAAACTGATACATATATGTCTCGAGGGCTTGACGGTTAGCACACATGTGAAGTTTGAATTTTTTTTGACCATTTACACAGGACTTATAGCAATATCGTGCTTAACAGCAAGGAATGCCTTGCCGTGGCAACAGCTTTTTGGGAAAACTCACTATTGTCATATTGAGGTGTTGAGGGCCGGACCATTAGCCCTCATCTGAAGTCTGTCGC